CGATAAAGTGGTGGTTCCCTACTCAGGTTTGATTAATTTGCTAGGGCTACTCACAGAACTCAAGGTAACATTTTACTTAGTAGATTACCTGTTTATTATAATAAGACAAAATTCAGGAACAGCCAGCCACATGGAAGAGATGCACAGGGCAAGTTAGGGAAGGAATGTGGAGCTTCCATGCCCTCCCCAAAGCCACTCTCAGCACCTCTGTTCATCAAGACAGAGGCTCTCTGAACTCTTTGTCTTTGGCGTTTCATGGAGGCTTCATTCACTACATAGGTATAACTGATTGAATGATTGATCCTTGGTGATTGAGCTCAATATCCAGCCCCTCTCTCCTGGGAGTTTGGGGGATGGGGAAGCTGAAAGTTCCAGCCATCTCTGATCACAAGGTCGGGTCCCCTGACAACCAGCGCCCATCCTTAGGGGCTTTCCAGAAATCATTTTCCTCATGGTTGAAAGGGGTCTGTTATGAATAACAAGACACTTTTACTGCACTTATCACTTACAAAATTCAAGGGTTTTAGGAGCTCTATGGCAGGAACAGGATGAAGACCAAATATATAAATCAAATATTGTACTACCAAAAGGCTACAGTTATGATTCCATTTATGTGACATTCTGGAAAAGGGAAAAAATCATATAAAAAATTAGATCAGTGGTTGCCTGAGGGTGGGGAAAGAAAATGGACTACAGTGGCACAAGGGAACTTTCAGAATCATGGGAATATTTTTATATTGGTGGTTATACGGATATCTTTGTCAAAACTCATAGGACTGTACAACTAAAAAGTGTTTATTTTATTGTATGTAAATGATACAATAAACCTGACATTAAAAAATACAAGCATACCTAAGATTTTATAGCTTCAATTCCAGACAATCAAAAAAAGCAAATATGGCAATAAATGTTACCTTGAGTTCTGTGAGTAGCCCTAGCAAATATAAATTCAACTGAATTTTTTGGTTTCCCATTGCATATGAAAGTTATGTTTACACTATAGTGTAGCCTATTAAATGTGTGTAGCATTATGTCTAAAGAAAAAACCATGTGTCTGTCTAAATTTGAAAATACCTTATTGCTAAAAAATGCTAACTATCATCTGTGTTCAGCAAGTCATAATCTTGGGGGCAGAGGGACTTGCCTCAATGTTGATGGCTGCTGACTGACCAGAGTGGTGGTTGCTGAAAGGTGGAATGGCTGTGGCAATTTCTTAGAATAAGACAATGTAGTTTGCCACATCAGTTTGACTTTCACAATTTCTCTGTAGCTGTTTGATAGCATTTTACTCACAGTAAATTGGAGTCAGTCCTCTCAAACCCTACCTCTGCTTTATCAACAGTTTATATAATATTCTAAGTCCTTTGTCATTTTAACAATCTTCACAGCATCTAAAACAGGAGTAGATTCCATCTCAAAAAACCACTTTTGCCCATCCATATGAAGGAAATCCTTATCTCTGCAAGTTTTATCGTTGAGATTGCAGCCATTAGGTCCCATATTCAGGCTCCAGTTCTAATTCTAGTTAGAATTAGATTCTTGCTATTTCCACATCATCTGCAGTGACTTCCTCCATTGAAGTCTTGAACCCCTCCAAGTCATCCTTACAGGTTGGAATCAAGTTATTTTGATATTTTGACCTCTTTCTATGACTCATGAATGTTCTTAATGGCATTTAGAATGGTGACTATTTTACAGGTTTTAAAATTACTTTGCTCAGATCCATTGAAGGAATCACTATCCATGGCAGCTGTGGCCTTGTGAAATGTATTTTCTTAAATAGTAAGATCTGAAAGTCAAAATTACTCCTTGACCCATGGGCTGCAGAATGGATATTGGGTTAGCAGGCATGAAAACATTAATCTTGTACATCTCCCATCAGAATGCCAGGTACACTATCATTGAGCAGTAGTAGGATGAAAGGAATCTTTTTCTGAGCAATAGGTCTCAACAGTGGACTTAAAATAATTCAATAGACCATGTTGTAAAAGTAGATGTGTTGTCATCCAAGCTTTGTTGTTCCATTTATAGAGCAAAGGTAGAGTAGATTTAGCATAATTCTTAAGGGTCCTGGGGTTTTTGGAATGGTAAATGAACACTGGGTTCGACTGCAGTAGCCCCTAACAAGTCCACCTGCTTTGAAGCCAGTTACTGACTTCTCTCTAGCTATGAAAGTTCCAATAGAAGTAGACAGGTTTTCAAGTGGTCTGGTTCTTCTTAAGGATAATTGGGTTCTTAAGTTCACCATTTTTACCTCTTTACCTTTGTACTAACTTCGGGAAGTTAATAATACCAATGAATCATTCTGACTTCCTCTTTCTTCTTTCTCCCTTTTTTTAAAAGCAAAATGAAGACTTTATTACTCCCCTCCATTAAATACTATAGGAGGAAATGTTCTTAGAATAAAAATCCTCTAATATGTATGGGTTACAGAATAACCCTAAGCTATTCTAGGCAGGTAAAAGCTCCATCTCCATTGATCACCAGTAAAGTCCATAACAGCCTTGTGTTAGAAAAGTTTCTGTCAGTACGGAAAGGAAATAATCCTCTAGAACTAGGTCTGTGACAAGCATATCGATTGGAAGATCAAAGATTGAAGGGATATATACAAGGTATAGTCATAGTGGGGATGGTTTATAGGGAAAGAAACATCTTGGATCACATGGGTTATCCTCAATCTTCTGGTAGATAAAACCTGTTAAGTTACAGATCTCAAAACCAGGAGCTGTCCAGTAGTACTGACCAAAGTATGTTTTGTTTTGTTTGGTATTCATATAAAATAACTAGATGTAGTAATTAAGATATTATTAGACAGTAAACTACCTTGAAAGGCAAGGATCATCTCTTACTCATTTCAGTTTCTCCAAATTTCAACACATGTTTAATAGTAGGCAATAAATGTTGAACCAGATAACTAATTATTTCATTAATTCTTCTGAACAGACTGGATTATGGACAGAACTTGGAAAGATTGAGAATAATTTCTTAAAGCCACTACATACAGGACTTAATATGTCAAAAGCACATTATGAAGCAGAAATTAAAAATAGCCAAGAAAATAGCCAAGGTTGGTAATGCGCAATTTCACTTTTGGTTAGGTCTAAAAATTAGTCGTATTTCAGAACTGTCATTTAGATTCAGAATAAACAGCTTTAAATCTTGTACTTGTCTAATTTATAGCAAACAAGGAGCCATGACAGCTTAGTCATTTATTTATAATTAAAATTATTCTTAGCTGATCTATAAGCCAGTTAATATTGAACTTGAGTTAACAAAGATTTAAACCAAACTGAAGCATAGTCTGGTTTAAAACTTCAAGTTCTGATTAAGAATCTAATTGTATTACACGTAAGTGTTTGGATATCATTTAAATTCTTGAGTTCACCCCCCACCTCGCCCTCAAGTAAGTCTTTACAAATCTTAGATCCAGAATTACTTTTTAAAGTCAGCAATTCTGTTATAATAATCTTGTGATCTTTTCCATATAACTTTGGAAGTATTTCTATAGGCATTACTAGAAATTTTGTCTTTTATTAGTTTAATGGATATAATTTGACCATACACTGAAGGAAAAAGTTTAATCGATTTTCATTCATCCTATGCATGCCAAATAATGCTGTTCACCTAAATAAATATTTACATGTTACAAAAGCTTGATATTTTTATTACCTTATTGATTTAAACATATCCTGAGCTATTAAACAATAAGACTTAATTGACAGAAATCTTTTAAAGTTAATGAATGATGAAAATAACAACAAATTTATTACTGAAATCTCAGAGCTGTTTTAATGGTTAAGTGTGACACACATGACCTTTTTTTTCTTACAGAAGTCCAAAAGTCTAAGGATCTTTGTTCTCTAACTGTAGGTGAAGAAGAGATCCCTAACATGCCTCCTGAAATGCAGCTTAAGGTAGATATGGAATTTCCCTAAGCTACAATCAGCTTGTCTTTTCTGTTTTGTTTTGTTTTGCTTTAGCGGTAGAATTAATAACACTGATTTTTTTTGGCATTATAGGTCCTACATTCAGCTCTTTTCACATTTGATTTGATTGAAAGTGTTCTGGCTCGAGTAGAAGAACTTATTGAAATAAAAACAAAGTCTACCTCCGAAGAAAATATTGGGACGAAATGAAAGTTCCATTTCCTAAATAAAAATTAGTAAAATACTGTGTTTTCCATTATAATTTATTTAATACCTTTATAAAAATTTTTCTCTAAAACATACACCAATAGAAAAATATTTGTAGCTTTTCTGCAATGACATCATGGTTGAGTAGTATTCTTTGGTTTTAAAAAAGATATCTACATGTAAATAATTTCCACATACATATTCTAAATACTGCTTGAAAATCCAATACAAACTAATAATTTTTTATTATAATTTCATAAAATGTAGTTGAATTACTGTCACTCATTCATACAGTTGTGAGTTTATAAAAATACTGATACACTTTATGTTTCACTTAGATGCTATGTAAAATTTCTTTTATCAAACTGGGTATCATAGTACTGTAAGAATGGAGAGGAGTTTTCAGTTGGGCCACCTGACTGCTTCTCTTCTTTTCCCTGTTTTTCCCTGCCTCAGGAGGAGCCTTAGGGAGCAGAGTCCCACCTGCCATCTCTCAAGTAGCAGGTATAATGTGAAAGCATCTACAAAGATTAATTTTAGAAATACTGGCTGTCCTTGTGGAAAAGCATATATTCTTCCTTTAGTCTAAAGGAGTAATTAGAAAATGCTGTATTTTTATTTCCTAGTAAATATTTTATCCATCCAACTTAATTTGTATCATTAAGAAACTACATCTGAATTTTATAATGTATGTGTACCAGTTTTTCCTAAACATTAAAGGAATTACTCAACAGCACTGAATATCACTTTTAATTGATATATTTTATTTTAAATTTTTAAAAATCTTTTAAGTAAATAAATATTCGAACATTATATAAACCAGTCTAACTTTTATATTTTTCCAAAAGAACATTTATAATTGATACTCTAAGTTGGGTTAAATGAATCACTACTCAGTTTTATCTTTTGAAGTGTCTTCCAAACAGGACTTTGCTCAATGATGTAAGCTTTAGTTGTTATCATTCTGTAGCAGATGCTGTCTATGTTTGGTTTGGAGGTAATCTGAAAGGAGATATAAACATGCCACATTATTTAAGGAAATCAGGTATATCGCCACATCTAAAAACACTATTTATTCAACTAGTACTGAATCAATAACCTATGTGCTAAATACTATGTATGAATTACTAGAGTAACAGAGTAAATACCTGATTTCTGTCTAAGAAATTTGAAGTAAGCAATTTTAAAAAGTAAGATACTAGGGAAGAATTGCTTTAAGAGAATTGTTCCAAGTGCAAGAGTAGGAGCACCTATCTGCCTAGGGGCACAGTTCATAGAGGAGAACAAGTGTGAAAAGGAAGTGGACAACTGGTGGATAGCATTCTATAAAATAGCATGTTTGCAATCCAACAGTTCATGACTACAACCTGACCAGGATTTATACTTTAGAACTTGAAGGAAGAGTTAAGTAACCATCAGGGCTAACACAATGTATATGACCCAAATGCTCTTTTTGTCTTAAAATGAGTCATTCTGACAGTAGCTACTTCTCTAGTAAATTAGGAAGAAAGGCTGAGTGCAGGCTTGGGAGGCTTGGGAAGAGTCACATACTGAAAGAGCAACTTCCCTGAGAGGAACAGAAGCAGAGTATTTGTCAGTCTGCTCAAGAAGGTGTGCATTTTGAAGTCATCAACCTTAAAATGTGAGTGTGTATGTACGTATGTCATTTTCCTCAGATGACTTACCTTAGCTATAGTACACATAAGATTAATAGCATTTACTGGGTTGTGTACTGGAAGTATCCGTAAGTTACTACCCAGGAATCTGAAAAACAATTCATAAGTTAAATAGATCAGACAACTTACTGACATGTTACCTTAAGTGGAAAGGAGAGACAAACCTCTCTCATTATCTGTTTATTCATTCATGCCCTGTCTTACTCCATGGAGGATTTGATTGGGCTTTACAGCTAGAACTCAACTGCTAAAAAGTGTTCACTTTTGTTTTGGTCCTGCCGGAGAATCCCATAAATCACCATTAACTCTGAAACTTGTCACCAGGATCCCAGAATAGCCATTTGGCCTGTGATTTTATTAAATATGACAGGTTAACATTACAAAGGTTATCTTCTGGCAAAACATAACTCAACTGAATCAAAAACTGAATGAAGTAAACAGTGTAATTTAAGAAAAATAAGTCTGTAGTACTAATCTTCCATACCTCTGCTGAATCCTAAACATCAGTTTCCATTCCTCAGGCCCATGGAAGGCCGCAGACAGAACCAAAAAACTATTTTGGTGAATGTTAACAAAGTTCTCAATTTTGGCCAGAAATATTTCTTCAGCTGACATAAAGCATTCTTTAGCATCCATCAATAAAAATGCAACTCCTAGGAAAGGTGAATAACATAACATGTCGCTTTGTCATATTGATCAAGTTTTTTTGTATACTCGGTAAAATCAGTAAAAGAGTGAAAGTACCGTAAGTATAATGTAGCTCTAATGTTCCAGGCCCTAAACCCATATGCAGTAGAAATTACTATAAAATTCTTAATATAACAAAATCATTTAGGTAGGTAGTTCTCTGAAATGCTCTGTATGAAACAATGACTTTTTCTAATATTTAAGGGAAAAAAATGTTTTTGGTAAATAACCATTTTCTTTTTCAGACTAAGGCACTGTCCACAATGAAAGTAATGCCTAATTTTAGTTAAAAGTTAATTTTTCATGTTATGATTTTTAAAGGCTGGAACCAACTAAAGAAAGAGTCTTAAGCAATCCTTTAATTAGTTCTTGGAGAAAACTTTGTACTAGAACATTAAGTATTGTATCAAGTAATACACTCTAAGCAGATACCTAGGATGTATGAAATTGTAACAGGCCTATAAGAATAGTCCTAAAGGAAACTTGATCTAATTATAGCTCTTGAAAAGATTAGGGGAAGACAATCTGAGGAAAGTGATTATATTATTATATGTTAACTGAGTGAACCTAGGTAATTTATATAACCTCTCTGAACCTAAGTTTTCTCCTCTGTAAGACTGGAATAGTTCTTCAATAGGTTTGTAGAAAGGACAAAATAAGATAGTGTATATGAAGGGGCCTAGGCACATAGTGGGTATTCACCAAAAATACTTAATTTCTCCCTAGAGAGCTCTCTCTTCAACCAGGAAGGACAAGATTGAGATTGGACCACTTTGAGCCTGGAGGTCTATTTCTAGGAGCTTTTGAAAGCTGTCTTCCAAAACCTCTGCTGGAGGACAGGTCTACTTGCAAAACTTCTAGTAAAATCCTTCACCTCCACCTCTTTTATCACTTCTGTCATATTCCAAGCTCAAACCTATGTTTTGTAATGCCCCTTTCTCTTCTCTCCAGCCTTCTTATACCCTAATCTAACTTAATTTGCTGGTACTGTGCCCATGACTCACAGCTGTTTACAATTTCAGGAATATTTATTTGTCCCCATTTAGTTACTATTTGTTCATATTATATTCACTAAACTTTTGTACAAAATCATGAAAAACATTCTCATGTTGTTTTGTATATGGATTTTGACCAATGTTACGATATTTTAGCTTTTTTAATGCTGGTAATACTGTTAAGTATTGGTTACTGGGGACATGGCTTTGTTCTACTTTCATCTTAGTTCTAAAGCAAGTTTTTAACATCCTCTACCAGATACCACTGGTTCAGCTTTAGTTCAACAACTATAACCTAAAAAGGGATATATTTTGTAATTAGTCATAGGCACAAGCTTTTGCAGCTGTGTCACAGTTTTATATATATTACCTCTCCCCAAAAATAATACCTTAAGTTTAATGGTTACTGAACTAAAAAATTATCAGAACTTATACTCACATATTTTATAAGAAACTTAAATCAAGGCAGTTAGCAAATATACTATACCAGAAAGAGAAAATATAATTGATCCATTTTCCACTGAATCTGAATACCGAATCTTATGGCTTTGATTTTCTAGGGCAGTCGCAACTTCGTAACTCTAAAAAATTTTTCAGAAATACAAATTTAAGACCTGCTTAGAATAGTTTCATTAAAACTAATGAAAAATTTTTAATTTTAATAGCTTCTTTTATAACTATACCACCTAAAGATTTGATTATCTAAAGAGACACCAAATGTCTTCTCTATGGAGACAAATTTTTTTAAAGAGCAAAAATACTTAGTTCTACTGAAACACACTGATTGTAGGTTTGGAAATGAGTTGTATACTAGTTATTTTACTTAAGCACAGAAATTAAAGGCAGTATTAAAGAATTAACTTGTAAGAACCAGAGCAAATGCAAACTTTCTTTTAAAAGGACAACTTGAAGATGGATTCTGACATGCATTAATATATAACTGGAAGGTGGGTGGTGGTGTGTTTCTTAGATGGTTGACAGAACCACGATGTGCCAAAGAGAGTAGAAGGAGACAAGCAATTCTTCGATTTGTTTACATTGCAGTTACTTTTAAGTCTTTTAAGCCTTACGTGAGTGGACAAATGTATTGAGGCAGCAACAGGACTTCTAGGTTAAATACTATTTCAAAAATAATCTAATTTCCTATTCTATCCAGGCAATTAGATCATTTCACCCAAGACACCACAATGAAGTGAGTGATAGTGTTTCTTGACTGGTTAAAACTCAAGCCTGTTATTCTCCAAGTAGATAAAAACCCTTAGGTATATTAATTTTATTTTATGTTTTGCTTCAGAACATGTATATCTTAAGCACACAGGCTGGAATTTATGTATAAAATATATGCTTCCTTTCCTGCCTAATGAGAGTATCTTGTACCGCTCAGGTCTTGACCAAGAGTTCAACTAAGGCTCTTCATATGAGTTTGCTTCTGCTGTTTTAAAATTAGACATTGCTTCCAGCAATGGCAGACTGAGTAATTTAGGTCAGCCCTCCTGCTGAAGGAAACTAGAAAAGCTGGACAGTTTAAAAAATCTGTTTGAATGCATCAGAGAGATAGGATAGTGAAAAACTACAAGACCAACATCTATAGAGAAATTCAGAGAGATGAAACCAATATTTAGGCCATTTTTTCCTGAAGGCATCTGCCAATTCAGGAAAAGGCAGATAAGAGGGTGAACAAAACTTCTGACAAAAGTAGAACAGCTCTCAGGGACTGCAGCCTAGCTTCACACAATTCAATCCCTGAAATTGTATTAAGGTGATACAACTAGTGCTCCCAAGCACTTTGCAGAAGCACTCCCTAGAGCAACCTTTCTCAATCAGGTCTCATGTGAACTATAAAACAAATGATTTGAGTGATAATATTTTCAATTTTCCCATAACTAGTACCATTATAGATGTGTAGGAGGTAAGTTCATTTACTATATATAATAGATGCATTAGGACTTGGGTTGCCAGATTTAGCAAGGAAAATACAGAACACCCAGTTAAAATTGAATTTTGGTTAAGCAATATAATTTTTTAGTATAAGCATATCCTATACAATATTTGGGATGTACTTATACTAAAGTCATTATTTATCTGAAACTAAAAATTAACTGAGTATCCTGTATTTTATCTTGCAACCCTACTTAGGCATTAGGGGTTTAATTCTCTTGTAGAATTAAGGCTTCTCTAGGGGAATATAACACTATTCCAGGTCACAAGTCATTTCTAAAAACAATTTTTCAAATACAAATTCCAATAAAAAATAATCAGATATACAGAGACAAAAGACAACCATCAGAAACAACAGACAATAGAAATAGACTCATAGGAGATATATATATATATTGAGGTTACCAGATATGCATCTTAAAATAGCTGTTCACTATGTTTAAGAAGTTAAAAGATATGCTTGAGAATTTTGGCAAAAAACAACTATATAAAAGGAGGTGTAACAGATGTGAAAGAGGAGAGCTTCATAACATTTGAGTCATATCTTTAAAGTGAAAAGCAGTTTATTAAGCAGACAGGTGAAGGAAAAAAAAGACAAATGTGAGAAAAGCAGAGAAAGAAAGAATTCCATAGGCAAAGGTATTCAGACCTGAAAATAATGATTCTTATATGCTAAGTGTATAGTGTGTATGAATGAGTTCATTTGAGGACAATGTTAGGAATAACTGCTGGCAGACTGTGAGAGATGTATGCCAGGCTAATGAATTTCAATCGTATCTTTTGGGGAGCCAACTAGAATTATAATAAAAACAATAGAAAAAAATAAGTAAAATTAGAAAGCATTGAATTAAGAAAATACAGATAATTTCAAGAGTTAGTTTTTCAAAATAACCAGGAGTAAAGAGTAGATCTTCCAAAGTATGTTTCATGGAATTAGTCCCGTAAGATGTTCCTTATTCAGGTAATATTTGTAAACACTGAATATGATTTGGCTCCTTTTGGGGATTTACAATTCGTTTGAGCACAAAGCCTCTGAAGAATAATGTAGTAAAAAAAAAACTTAGTAACTTTTTTATCAGCATTCTAAATAAAATCCATTATAATACTTTTTCTACATAACCTCTATTAGCATTATATAACATCTGTTAATATTCTGTAAAACTAGTGCAAGACAAAACTTCTGTCTTGCAAATCTCATAAGGAAGAAAATAAACAGAAAGGAGAAAAGGCACTTAACTGATAAGAGTATATTTGAAAATAAAAATAATGCCAATATGAAATTTGTAATTACAGAAATGGCAATTTCATCAAGTCCAACTTAATAAGTTTAATTACTCCTATGAAATGGGTACATTTTCAAAAAGTACATAAGTCATGAAAATTGACTCACAACATAGTAAAAAACCTAACAGAGCAAAAGCCAAAGAAACCACTACTTTCTACATTTCTTAGAAGATTACCAGCACAGAAAATTTAATGGGAAAGATTAAGGAGCCATGGATATACAATGGGGAAATGACAGCCTCTTCAACAGTTGGTGTTGGCAAAACTGGACAGCTACATTTAAGACAATGAAATTGGATCATTTTCTAGCCCCATACACAAAAGTAAATTCAAAATGGATCAAAGACCTGGATGTTAGTCATGAAACCATAAAACTCTTAGAAAAAAACATAGGCAAAAATCTCTTGGACATAAACATGAGCAACTTCTTCATGAACATATCTCCCTATTGAGGCAGCAACAGGACTTCTAGGTTAAATACTATTTCAAAAATAATCTAATTTCCTATTCTATCCAGGCAATTAGATCATTTCACCCAAGACACCACAATGAAGTGAGTGATAGTGTTTCTTGACTGTTTAAAACTCAAGCCTGTTATTCTCCAAGTAGATAAAAACCCTTAGGTATATTAATTTTATTTTATGTTTTGCTTCAGAACATGTATATCTTAAGCACACAGGCTGGAATTTATGTATAAAATATATGCTTCCTTTCCTGCCTAATGAGAGTATCTTGTACCGCTCAGGTCTTGACCAAGAGTTCAACTAAGGCTCTTCATATGAGTTTGCTTCTGCTGTTTTAAAATTAGACATTGCTTCCAGCAATGGCAGACTGAGTAATTTAGGTCAGCCCTCCTGCTGAAGGAAACTAGAAAAGCTGGACAGTTTAAAAAATCTGTTTGAATGCATCAGAGAGATAGGATAGTGAAAAACTACAAGACCAACATCTATAGAGAAATTCAGAGAGATGAAACCAATATTTAGGCCATTTTTTCCTGAAGGCATCTGCCAATTCAGGAAAAGGCAGATAAGAGGGTGAACAAAACTTCTGACAAAAGTAGAACAGCTCTCAGGGACTGCAGCCTAGCTTCACACAATTCAATCCCTGAAATTGTATTAAGGTGATACAACTAGTGCTCCCAAGCACTTTGCAGAAGCACTCCCTAGAGCAACCTTTCTCAATCAGGTCTCATGTGAACTATAAAACAAATGATTTGAGTGATAATATTTTCAATTTTCCCATAACTAGTACCATTATAGATGTGTAGGAGGTAAGTTCATTTACTATATATAATAGATGCATTAGGACTTGGGTTGCCAGATTTAGCAAGGAAAATACAGAACACCCAGTTAAAATTGAATTTTGGTTAAGCAATATAATTTTTTAGTATAAGCATATCCTATACAATATTTGGGATGTACTTATACTAAAGTCATTATTTATCTGAAACTAAAAATTAACTGAGTATCCTGTATTTTATCTTGCAACCCTACTTAGGCATTAGGGGTTTAATTCTCTTGTAGAATTAAGGCTTCTCTAGGGGAATATAACACTATTCCAGGTCACAAGTCATTTCTAAAAACAATTTTTCAAATACAAATTCCAATAAAAAATAATCAGATATACAGAGACAAAAGACAACCATCAGAAACAACAGACAATAGAAATAGACTCATAGGAGATATATATATATATTGAGGTTACCAGATATGCATCTTAAAATAGCTGTTCACTATGTTTAAGAAGTTAAAAGATATGCTTGAGAATTTTGGCAAAAAACAACTATATAAAAGGAGGTGTAACAGATGTGAAAGAGGAGAGCTTCATAACATTTGAGTCATATCTTTAAAGTGAAAAGCAGTTTATTAAGCAGACAGGTGAAGGAAAAAAAAGACAAATGTGAGAAAAGCAGAGAAAGAAAGAATTCCATAGGCAAAGGTATTCAGACCTGAAAATAATGATTCTTATATGCTAAGTGTATAGTGTGTATGAATGAGTTCATTTGGGGACAATGTTAGGAATAACTGCTGGCAGACTGTGAGAGATGTATGCCAGGCTAATGAATTTCAATCGTATCTTTTGGGGAGCCAACTAGAATTATAATAAAAACAATAGAAAAAAATAAGTAAAATTAGAAAGCATTGAATTAAGAAAATACAGATAATTTCAAGAGTTAGTTTTTCAAAATAACCAGGAGTAAAGAGTAGATCTTCCAAAGTATGTTTCATGGAATTAGTCCCGTAAGATGTTCCTTATTCAGGTAATATTTGTAAACACTGAATATGATTTGGCTCCTTTTGGGGATTTACAATTCGTTTGAGCACAAAGCCTCTGAAGAATAATGTAGTAAAAAAAAAAC